ATGGGTATCATCTCTGGAAACTCTCACGAGACTATACTCGTTCACTAGGGGAAACCTAGGGGTTTAAACGCTTGTTGCATATGCTAAATGCAATCATGAGTTCTACAAAAGTGGATTGGTGTTTTATTTTATTAGGTTATTTTGTTTTTAGTTTTTAAATTTTAGGATCCATATATTACTAGGGACTAGTAATATTCGGGTTGGGGGGTGTGATTAACCATCAAAATTGCTATTTTATTATATTTAATGATTGACAAATTAATATTATTTGTGATTATATGTGTTAAATTCCTTGATTTTTTAGTTTGATACTTTTTCTAATTGTTTGGTTTATTTTACAGGTAAATTGGTTGATTTAAAATAATAATGAATAATACAAGTAAATCAATCACTAGAAGAAGAATAATAACTAATAAGGATTGAAGAGTCAAGATTGAGATTGGAAGACTTGAAGATATGACAGCAATTTAATTCTTATAAGAGTCCAAGTTGGAAGAAAACTCATTTAGAGTTGGATTAGAAAAATGTCCAAGAAGAAAATGATTTGACACGTTTTCAGTATTTTGGTTATAACTTTTGAATCTGATATCACATTTACTTGATTTTTGGGGGTTAAAAAGAAGACTTCAAGTGTTACGAAAGTGTATTTCACGAAAGTTTCGTGATTCAACCTTTAAATATGCGAAATTCAAGCTCAAAATCTGGATAGATTTTGTACCCGCGTCCCAAAGATTTTATGCACGGGATTTAACTTTACAAGACTTTTTTTTTTGAAAAGAATTCCTTTCAACCTATATTTAGAATTTATTATTAGTATAAATAGGGGTTCTCATTTAGAGATTATTTTATTCTTTTTTTCATCTTTTTATTTTTGTTTTAGTTCATTATGTCTGGTTAGAAGGCTAAGATAGGGCTAGGGGAAAACCTCTCAACGAAGTATAGTATTGTTATTGACTTTGGGGTTAATGATTTACGATGTTTTGTTAATTTAACTTCTGATTTCTTAGCAAAGTTTTTATTCTGTAAAAATTATTTAGTCGTTGTGTCATGTACATTGATTGTTTGAATTTTCCTGTAAGTAAATAACTGGTTATTCCACGATTGAGGTATTTTTCATTATTTCATAAAATAATATAATTGAATGATTATTCAGGTTCTTGAATAATCTTTTGATTATAACTTTCGGTTTTCTTACTTGATTTGTTACTCGAATCAAACGACATCTGATTTTTGTCTCGAGTTAAGATTTGAGTCTTTAATCATTATTGTATGAACTTGAGAAGGCGTACCTGATGCTCTAGTATTTTTATTATATTGTTTAAATATCTCCAATCAATATTTTCAACTCAAAAATTTTTTTTACACAAATTATTCTTTCAAATTTTCTTTAGTATTTCTGTGATTGCTTTTTGTTACAATTCCTTGTGGTTCGACCTTGGACTTCCGAGTATTATATTACTTTGCGACAACCTGCACTTGAGTGATCAATTCTAAAGTTGTAGCAATTAGTGTGTGTTTTTGGTGTACTAGTGTGTGTATATTTTGGTGTATTAGTGTATATGTGTGTATTTTTTGGTATAATAGTGTATATTTTTTAGTATATTACTATATTTATTTAATTTTATTACTTGTATTATTTAATAAAAAGATAAATACTCAACCCAATGCGTACCTATTTGTAATCTATATTAACCCGCTTAATTAAAATAAATGATATTACTCAACCCATATAGAATCCATATTAATTAATATAAGTACCTAACCCATTAATTTATTGGGGGGGGGGGGGGTTAGGCAAATTAATGGGTAATGGGTTAAGATTGTTACCTCTAGTGTTGATTGTTCGAGTAAATATCATGCACACCCCTTGATATTTGATTTTATTATATAGACATCCCTTACATTTTAAAAATGACATTGATACCTCAATAGGTGAACGATGTTAACCGTGTTACTAAAAAGACTATTTTACCTTTAATTAATTGATCTAATCCTTACCTAGATCTAAACCTATTGCCCATGCCCAAGTCCACATTCCATGCCCGGTGACCCATGACCTAGAACCCTTTAACCCCCAAATGTTAAAATTTTAATATATAGATTAAATATAAATAAATGAGAGGTTGGGTAAATTTATAGGGTAAGAAGAACATATATTTGAATTTTTAAACTTAATTTTGAAGAGTAATTTTGATATTCTAGAAATTATTATTGATAACATCAATTTTAACTGTTAACTATTCTAACGGCAATTAGATGGAGGGGGTGTGGTTGTAAAGAGTTTTGAATGTAAAGGAAGTTCGTTGTTATTTTTAAACTATAAGAGGATATCCGTATAATAAAATCAAATATCAGGAAGTGTGTGCATTATTTACTCTAGTTGTTTAGTTCATGGCAAAAGGGTGGAATAATACAAAAGCCATATCACCCACGTTTGGACTAATCATATGCATGGGGATTTAAATAAGGGTTAATTGTAAATTGTACCCCGAAAGATAAAAAATTTTAATTTATACTCTCAAAGATAGAAATTTGTATCAATGTAACCCCTAAAGATAAAAAAATCTCAATTTGTACCCTCAAAGATAGAAATTTGTATTAATGTGCACCTAAAACTAACCGCCGTCAATTTGCTGCCTAAAATTAAATTGATAAATTATATCTAGATCCCCTCATGTTTGTCACTTAATCATTTGGACCCTTCACATTTGTAATATTACTCTTACATCTCATGAAGTTTGTGCACATGTAGCACATAACCCTTTTTTTCGTTGATTTCTGTTAATATAACTATTAAAAAAATATGATTTTATCCTAATAATAAATTATAATTTTATATTGCCCTTTATTTTGTAAAAGGCTTCAAACGATTAAGTAACAAGTATAAGGTGATCTAGGTATAATTTATCAATTTAGTTTTAGGCAGCAAACTGACGACGATTAGTTTTAGGTGCACATTGATACAAATTTCTATCTTTGAGAGTGCAAAGTGAGATTTTTGATCTTTGAGGATGCACATTGATATAAATTTATATCTTTAGGGGTGCAAATTAAAATTTTTTATTCTTGAGGACGCAAATTAAAATTCGAACAATCTTTCGAGTTGCAATTTATAATTAACCCATTAAATAATTAGGCATTTCTCAACTCAAAGGGAATAGTAGAAATAAACTCAATGAAAAATATTCAATACAACAGTGATATCATATTAGTATTAATGACATGGTATCTCCAACCAATAATATGTAAGCAAATAAAAAAATAGACTTCACATAAGTCAATAATTACCTGTGCATATAAGTTAATAACTACCGTCTCTTCTTCCATGTAAATCAATAACTACTCAAGTGAGGTTCACTTTATCCATTCAGAGTTTTATTATTAGTTAGTGATATAATGTCATTAATGCTGACATGATATCACCGTTGTATTTAATATTTTTTCATACATATGGCTTTAAAAAAATTTCATTAAAAAAAAAAAAGATCCAGTAAGTGGTTTGCATTTGAAAAGCTCCCAAATTGCTCTATTATGATTAGGTTTTTATTTATTAAAATGTCCTTGGACTGAACCAAACACTGAATTGGTTAAAAGGGCATTAAAAGAAAAAAATATATATATGATCAATGCAAAAAAGATATCTGATTTAATGTCTATCACGAAGCCCACTTTTTTTTTTTTTTACCTAACTATTTCCAAACATGGGATAAATTAAAGATATGTGATATTTTTATTCAAACTTAAAAAATTAAATTAAATGAGCTTGGATTGGTCTATCTAAATAATCCAATTCTATATAATATTACTTAAAAACCAACATCTATAAATTTTAACCACAAAGCTAGTTGCCTTAAACAATGATTGATAATCGTTATCTTAGAATTATTTACTGGTACTGACCCTCATTTTCATTGGTAATATGCAATCCTTACAAATATTGTATAATAAGATAGTAAGACATTTGAATTTTATCTCTACCAATGCGTCTATTTTTGGGGCACCACAAAAACAATGTGTCTGGTCTAGTTGACAACTTCTAACATTTTTTTAATGTGAAGTCCATCTATCTAATAAGATAGTTAAACATTTAAATTTTATTCTCACATATTTTTTTTTCTCATTTTTATCAATATTTAACCAAGAAAATGATCTATATATTGGGATTTTTTTAGGTGTTCTATTTTGCCCTCTCTCTCTATCTCTCTCTCTCTAGATATTTCATTTATGTACGCATATTGTGGATCAAGGGTAATATTGTTAGATTATTTTTTAACTCATAATATTATTGATTGAATTATATTATTTATTTGCATATGGAAAATATTTGAGCACAAAAAGAATCACTTAATAGGTAGTAGTTAGAAATGGTAGTTGACTGGAGTGGGGCAAGGGAATAGTCTCCACCCTTGTACCCATTTGAAAAAATCCAGTTCATCCCCGTTCTACCCCATTAATAGGACAAGTTTTAATCCCTATTCTTTCCTTTGTAGGCAAATTCTAACTCTTGTTCCTGCCTCCACCTATAACAGTTAATTTAAGGCACAATCATAACCATGCGGGTCGAGGGAGAGATAAATTTTAGTCCATCCTTGTCTTAATTCCAACATGGATTTATACAAATATTTTTGTATATATTCACCGTCCAATATATATGGTGCATTTCTCATTTAAACGAGATGAATTTAGAAAAATTTCTATTTTTTCTTTGATCCACTGTCGTCCCTTCTACTAGTTTCTTGGCCAGCTAATAGTTTCGAATTGGGCCTCAGAGACGGGCTTAATCCAATTTTTACCCATTCGCACCCTAACAACCTGAGGCAGGCCCATGTCGTGCCCCGTGCCGGGATCCGAACCTCATGAAAGCAAGTGGTTTGGTAACCCGTCCATATTTTGAATCACAAAAGGACAACAAATCCCGCTCCTATCTCATTTCAAACGTTTTTCTCTACCACTGAGGGAGAGAGAGAGGGCGAGGGAGAGAGAGAGAGAGGAGAGAAGAAATGGCTACGAATATTGGCATGATGGACTCTGCGTATTTCGTCGGAAGATCGGATATTTTGGCTTGGATCAATTCGACACTTCATCTCAGTCTGTCAAAAGTTGAAGAGGTGTTTCTTCAAATCCAAACCCTAGATTTTTTTTTTGCCCTATTTATGGTTCAATTGTTGTTGATTAAAATTGTTTATGTGATGATTTGGATCTGATTCAACGAATGGCAGGCGTGTTCTGGTGCGGTTCAGTGCCAGCTGATGGATGCGGTTCATCCTGGCATGGTTCCAATGCACAAGGTTAATTTTGATGCCAAGAACGAGTATGAGATGATTCAGAACTACAAGGTCCTCCAGGACGTTTTTAATAAACTCAAGATCACCAAGGTTGTCTACTTACCCTTAATTTCTCTCTCTTTTGCTGCTATATATGCTTCTCTAAGTTTTTTTTTTCTTGGGCTTTGTTTTACCAACAAATTACACATTTAACAGCAAAATTTGTAAAATTTACGGTTTGGACTGAGGATTATTGTATATTTATTTTTTCTCAGAAACATTCCTTTCGAAACCCAAAGAATTGATTCAAGTATACGTTTTGGATATCTGTGTAGTGGACTGATCTGTGATGTTTGTGTGGTGTAGCACATTGAGGTAAATAAGCTAGTGAAAGGAAGGCCCTTGGATAATCTGGAGTTCATGCAATGGATGAAGCGATACTGTGATTCTGTCAACGGAGGGGGCCTACATAAGTAATTTTTATTTGAACTTTTTCATTTATGTTCTTTTGTTAAATAAGTAAGAATTTTGTGTTTTTAAAACTTGATTTCAGCCCAAACAATAGCAGGGAAAGAATTGTGTTCTAGTGCTTCATAGCCCTGTGATATTGTTTATATTCCAGTTGGCGAGGCTAATTTTTATTAGTTACCATCCCAAAAATTTATTTTTGGTTAACTGCATTATTTCTGCTCTTTTCTTGTGCATCAAACCAACAAGGTTATCATTCTGTGCAATTATATTGGTTGTATTTGGTGTATAAATGAATATAGTCATGGTGGTGATCATCCCAATGAATCCAAATATTTGAATTTTGTAGATTTGGGGAGCCTAAAAATGATCATCTGATGAAAAATGGTGGAAATCTAACATTATATTTGATGGTTTTTTTGGCTTTGTTTTATGTAAAGGCCTTCTTTAGATGCTATAGAAGATGATTATTGATTCTGTTTTTTCGTTTTTTTTTTTCCGTATGAGCCCTGCTTGTTGATATATATTTTCATGAAGCATCTGTAACTGCTGACGTCTTGAGATATATAAAACTGTTTAAACAGTGTTCTTATGTTTAGGGCCATTTCTGAAGCTAGATTGAGTTTATACAAGCCTTTAATGGAACCAGATCTTTTATTCAGATTAGTTTTTAAACTCTTAGGCCTATCGATATTTTTGTAAAGCATTTGTATTATTTTTGTGATTTGATTCTTTTTCTTTCTATATTAGTTACAACCCTTTGGAAAGGAGAGAGGCTTGCAAAGGTGGAAAAGATGCCAGCAAGAAATCTGCACCATTACAATCATCAGCCAAGTGTGCAGGAGCTCCCATCAAAACTCAAGCCTCCCATAATGCCCGAAGGACTGATGCACCTTCTGTAAACACTACTAATCAATCTTCTAAGGCCCCTAGACCTTCTTCAAGTGGAGGGCCTTCTGTTTGCCCTGAAGCAGTACGGACCACTTATGAACAGCAGGTAATAAAGTGTGGAATGGACACACGTAATAGTGTAAAAATGTTGATGCACTGAAACTTATCTTGATACACAGATCACAGAGCTGAAGTTGTCAGTGGATAGTCTTGAGAAGGAGAGGGATTTTTATTTTGCAAAGTTGCGGGATATCGAGATCTTGTGCCAGTCTCGTGAGGTTGAAGACCTACTGGTACTGTTTCTATATTTGTCTCATAGGATGTAGTTCAGAACAACTGGATAAATGTAACTAAGTTTAAATAGGAGTTTTTCATTAGCATCTTCTGTCTGTTGCAGGTCGTAGAAACAATAAAGAGAATACTATATGCTGTAGATGATGATGCTTCAGTGGTGACTGAAGCTCAAGCTATGATATCTCAGCACCAGCTTCAAGCAGAACCATTGAGTTCAATAGCTGAGGAGGAAGAAGACTTGCCAAGTACAGGTAATCAGAAAAGGAAAAACATTATCAATCTTGAGGTTGATGTTGCTGCCAGCATTACATTATCTCCAAGGCAAAGGATTTCTGATGCTTCTGATGTCCATTGCAATGGATCGCCCCTTATGACTTATTGATCATTTCCTTTTCTTGAAGATGACTACTATACTTCTTGTGGGGTATAAGACAACCCCATTTTACTGTCTTGCACATTAAATTTCCTTTATAATGTCGAAATATGGGGAATGAGATCCAATAGTTGACAGATCGCAATGTTTTGGTCCTTTTGGAGTCCGTCCTGCTTCTGTTGTTTGTCTAGCATGTATGACAATAATGTCCCCTCTTTGCTTCAGGCCTAGTTGAAACTTTATCCTATAACTGAGGCATTGCCTATTTCAGAGCTGTGTTGTATCAATTGATAAACACCATTCAGAATCTGTCGGATCTGTAAGAAGTGGTATTTGAACATCATCTCCTGGATTTCTGGCTAATCCAATTAGCAATATAGCACTGAATTTTACTACAGGATTTGGTTGGGTTTTGTTATTCTTGTTTCCTTTGGCCCTGCTGTTGTTGGTTCATGCTATACACTTGAAGGATGAAAATGCAGAGTGTTTGAAGCATCATGGTATGTTTAATTGGCATGAAGGCAATTGCACTCTGAGGTTTATTGTGGATAATTTTACCTTTCATTATTGGGGTTTTTATTTCTCTCTTTGTTAATATGGATTTGAAAGTCCATCATATATAGCTATTGCTTTATCCTATTATTAAAAACTTTTGAGGCCTTGGTTGTTTAGGCTGCGTATCACCTGGAAGCTGTGTTATATCAGTTTGATGAACACCATTCAGGATCTGTTGGATCTTCAAGAACTGGTATTTGAACATAATCTCATGGATCTTTGACTGATCCAGATGGCAATAAAACACTAAATTCTATTACAGGATTTGGTTGGGTTTTGTTTATCTTGATTCCATTATCTCTGCTGTTGTTGGTTCGTGCTATGCACTTGAGAGATGAAATGCAGAGACTGTTTTAAGCATCATGGAACGTTTAACTGGTAATTGGCACGAATGCAATTGCACATTGAAGTTTATTATCACTAATTCTGCCCTTCATTATTGGGCTCTTTTTTTTTTTCCCTCTCCGTTAATATGGAATTGAAAAACCCGCATATATTGCTCAGAAGTCATTGTATCATTGTTCTGAATTAATCCCTATAATTTTATATCCTTGAATTACCTGTGTTTGGTAACTGTTTTGTTTTGGTTTTTGTGTTTTTGTTTTCAGTTTTTGCCAGAAAAACAAAAATGCGTTTGTGTTTGTGTTTTCGTTTGTTTTTTTCCGGCTAACTTCTTTTCTAAATTTGGCAAAACCGACCACTAAACCTGTCCAGAACTCTAACGAACTAACCGATTGGTTATAGACTCACTGCCTAAGGACCATTTCTATCCTCGTAACAGCAAATTATTAGGAAATAAAACATATGAAAATATATAAACACCACAAGCACTTGACTATTCGTTCTTCATCAATACCTGATTCATTTCATCTAATCAAACACCATGGCCAGCAACTTCAACACAACACCCAATAAGGTATATTTTCAAATCAATTTCTGCTGGTTTATACAAAAAATTTCTTCAGAAAAATCGTAATTCTGTGACTTTTATTACCAGCGGACTCAAGCTCTAAACGCACAAGGGCAAATGGAAAGAATGGTGGACACAGTAGATAACCGGTCATCGGTTGGTCAAGGCCAAGAACAGAAGCCGGTGCAAGTGATCCATCAGTCACATTCCGCTAAAGAAGATTCAGGAACCGGAAGCGGCGTTCTGGCTAGTGCTACTGCTGCTGTTGCATCCACCCTTCAGTCTGCCAGAGAAGCTGTCTCTGGAAAATAGTTCTAATGTATCTTCAATGATTTATTTCAATAATTTTATGGCGTTTTGTAAAACCATTTTATGTTGTCGAAATTTCTTTTCTTTGAATCAAAATATCATTGATTAATGGATGGTCCTGGAACTAGGTTTACTACGAATGTAATCCCATGTATTTTTCTATTTCAACATATGAAGAAAATGGTCTTGTTCCTTTTTTTTTTGTCGGATTTATTTTCAAATAACCATACACTTCTTCACTATCTCATTCCACTAATGGTGATCATGTCATTCTCCATGGTTGATGCAACCAATGATCTTTATTGTAATTGTATATGTCGACCCCGTATCAATCGATTCTCTCTCGATTTACAAGAGATTTTAAAGACTGTGATGGTTTCTGTAGTGTGGGTGGGTGGGTGTGGGTGTGCAGGGGGGGGGGGGGGGGGTTGCTTGAGAGGTTGAACACAATACTATGTTGCTATCCTTTTGTTGTCAAGAACAGTATCAAGAATGGAACAATAGAATCATTCTTTGTCCCTCTGAGCGGGACTGGACCACATTCTTTTTTTCCCTCAACTTGAAAAACGAATCTATGTTGAATAATAAATATTTAAATTACACCCTCTCCAGCAGTTTAAGCATTTGGAGTAGTTGGTTTTTAACAATCTCGGTGTTTCTCAATCCAATCGAACACAAGCTTCAAAGTTCACATCAGAATGAATGCCTGAAGCACCGAAAGTGGAAAGGTAGTGCACTTTATTCTCCTCTGTTCTTCATCCGAATCCAATTCTTTTTCGCCATTTTTATGCCTTTAGACCATATCTCACTTTGATTTACTACTTATATTAAGCAACCAACACACACAACTTCACTTCTGTCCTCTGAAATTTGTACTTGTATCCATCATTTTTCCAGGTTTAGTGAACAAAGCCAAAGTTTTTTTCATGTATTTTTTAGAAGGTTTTATCTTTTTAATATAGTTGGTTGGCTTGCTTGCAGCAATGGGTTTGGCGATATCTCGGTTTGTGAAGATGCTCTTTGCAAAGAAAGAAATGAGGATTTTGATGGTTGGTCTTGATGCTGCTGGGAAAACAACTATTCTGTACAAGCTTAAACTTGGAGAGATTGTTACTACCATTCCTACAATTGGTATCTTCTATGCTTACTCTTCTAATCTATGTTCCTAGTATGTTTTATTTACTCTGTTTCATTACTCAGTTGTGGGATTTTGTTTAATGGACATACCAATTTGATCAATGTTGTAGAGATAATTATAAATATCATAGTCCCATCATTGAGTAAAGGAAAAAAAAAAAAAAGAAAGAAGTTTTGCTAACGATAATCCCGCATGATGCTGCTGAAAATAATCTTAATTCCATGGCTATACATGGTTTCTTAAAAAATTCAACCTGTTAAGTGTGTTTTTCCATATTAAATTGGAACATAAAAAGGGCAATCCTTTGATATATACCACCAGGCTTCAACGTGGAGACTGTGGAATACAAAAATGTGAGCTTTACAGTTTGGGATGTAGGAGGCCAAGACAAGGTTCTAAGCTTAATCCCTTCAACTAGTCTCAAGTGATCTTTTCTTGTATTAATCGGATACTATGAATCATCTGAGTTTCCTACATTAAATTTGCTTGGTTCCCTCTTTCTTCTTGTTCCACACGCAGATCCGGCCTTTATGGAGGCACTACTTTCAGAACACCCAAGGCCTTATCTTTGTGGTGGACAGTAATGACAGAGAAAGAATTTCGGAAGCCAGAGATGAGCTTCACCGGATGCTGAATGAGGTCAGTTGTATCATTACAACTTCTTCCATCATAAAAATTTTCAGCAGGTCTTGGTACAAATTCTACGGACTAAATCCAAATCATGGACTGTAAAATACTTTTACTTTCTTTTGCAGGATGAATTACGCGATGCAACTCTTCTCGTGTTTGCAAATAAACAAGACCTTCCAAATGCTATGAATGTTTCCGAGATCACTGATAAACTTGGCCTGCACTCACTGCGTCAACGTCGATGGTAAACCTTACTAATTATAATAATTAATGCATTCTGTAATAACCTCCATATCTGAAGCCATAGTGTCGGGACTATGACATTGTTGTTAATTTCGATGCAGGTACATCCAGAGCACTTGTGCCCCTTCTGGCCAAGGACTCTATGAAGGTCTTGATTGGCTATCAAGCAATATTTCCAGCAAGGCATGATCATCCAGCCTCCTCTATATCTCTGTCTTTTATCCCGGAAACTACTATTCAGACTAATATCCTCATTTCTGTTTACTTGCAGAGATAATTAAACTGCCTTCAATTCTCTGGGTCCTACTGTCGAACCTATATTTGTGTTGCCCTGAAGTATTATTAAGTACACTTTGTATAAGTAATAGCTTTAAAATCTCCGGTTTAATTAATACCTTCTATGGCATATTTTTGAACTCTTTTCTGTTTCAATCTCAATGTATTGAAATCTTTAGTAGGACAGACTATTAACTTGACCTCAGTTTCAGCTTTTGAGCCCAATACTTATTTATGATTGCAACTCAAAGTGCAGCACAAGCAGTGTAAAAAGTTTTTAAGCCCAAAGTCTAATGACAACAAGCAAAAAAGTCGAAATGCTTATAAGCGTATAAACCTAAGTCATTGCTCATGCCAAAGCAAAACAAACTGAAAAAAACTGAAGAGTTGCACATTTGGGGAGTCCGCAAAGGGTATGTTGAATGTTGTTGTTAGTCTTCAATACCACATGAGTTGCAATGGAATTCCTGTAGCACTTGTGTTGTAGATTATATTAACTCTGATACCAAATTGATGTAGATCGTATTAAGGAAGAATAAGGGATGAGAAGGAAAGAAAAAGGGGATGAAAAAAGAAAAAGAATGGGTGAGAATAGAGAGAGAATTTTAGGAAGAAACAATATCAATAATCAATAATTAAAATCTAATCTCTCAACAAATATCTATCCCCTATATATATAAGGAGTTCACAAATCCTATATATATACAAGGAGATCATAAATCCTAAAATAAATAAATAATCAAAATGACAACTAAACTCTTAAAAGTTAAAAGAGAATACTTAAAAGATAAATATTAAAAGTATCTAAATAACTATCATAATTAATCTATAATATTTATACAATTCCTGCACGATTCTCATCATTCTCCTCTGGTTGAAAAAAACTCTCCTTTGGAGAGTCTTCAAAGTAGAAGTACCCTAAGAGAGCAGGATGAAGATGACATAATGTCTCATCTAGAATAAAAGAACCATCAACTTCTTTTCATCGATCAGGATAAATGCAAGAATCTTCATTTGTATGAACACCTACGGATAAAATAGGAGGTTCTGGAGTACCTCGATTAAGCAGCATGTCCTCCAAATAAAAATTTAGACTAATACTAACATTCAATAGAAAATTAAGCAAATAAACATTGGATCCAAATTTGAGAATAGCAAAACAATTCTCATTAGGTTTCAATGCAAAGTATTCAATGAGACAAGATATCGATGACAAAAGAGTAACAATAAGGCCTTGGTGCTGAAAATAAGAAAGTATAGACTCAAGAAAACACTTGACAGTAGGTAAAGAAACAAAGTTAACACTCTCAAGTGGGGTAGAATCTAGAACAATGTCAACAATCTCAGGCGGAGAAAAATCCGAAACAAAATCAACAATCTCAAATGAAAAAGAATCCACAACAATGCTTTCATGATTTGGAATACTAGACATAGAATAATTGCCAACAGATTGTAAAATAGATAGCTCAATATGCTCAACATCCTGCATAGGAACCAAGTGAATGAATTTTTCCTCAAGTTTAATGCTTAGTGACGATTCAACTTTTGACACCGATGAGGTAGGAAATATGATAGGATCAAAAATAATCTCATCACTAGTATCAATGTTTAAACGATTGAAAGTATGTTTTGAAAGATGTAAAACATGAAGGTCCAATGGAACAGAAATATGACTATCATTATGCAGGTGTCCGACATTAGGTGAAACTGAAAACTTGTCCTTATTTTCTTCCATTTGCTGACTTGCAAGAATTTTATTTAAATGGGAAAGTTGACTTATTAATTCAGATAATTAATTTTTCACCCCTCTACATTCTTCACGTAATTGGTCGAGTGAATGTTTAGTATTGGCAACTTCAATTTCAAAAATCTCAACTTTTTTTCCTAGGCCAGTTTGGGCTTTTGAATGGTCACTAATGACATTAAAAATTGATCTAGATTGACCTTGATGACGACTTTGGAAAACATGATGTTAATAACTGTTATGTGACCTAAGTGTCCCAAAGTAGTAATCTAGATAATCTTCATAATAAAACTCAAACTTATTATGGACTCTATGATGACTCAGAGAAACTCTAGGAGTGGAATAGATATAGTGATGACATTGTGGAGAACTGTAAACTTGAGATATTCTTGATGTTGGATTAGTATATGAATAGGCATCATAATGATCATATGAACTCATGATTGACTTTGAAAGATGAGAATAACATAAGAATGAGTTCAATGATGCAATTGATAATTACAAGAAGTGAGAAAACTTAAATAGAAGAAAATAGGTTTTGGATCCTTTGCAAATTTCTCTAATTTTTCAATAAATAAAAATATTCGTCTCAAATTTCATTGGAGTATGTATACCACAATCAAGAAGAAATTTTGAAATTTTTGGGGATGATTCTGTAATTTTTAGAACTTATAGGAGAAGATTCTACAATTTTTAAAACTTCTGGTGGTAGTTCTGTAACTTCTGTAACTTCTGTAACTTTCTGGGATGTTTTATAATTTCTGAAACAACTGGGATTTTGTTGTAATTTTCTAAATTTGCTGGGACAGTTTTTTTTTTTTTTTGCTGGCTCTGTTTTTTTTCACTAATGAACAGTGTTTTCGGTGAACAGTGTTTTTGGATGAATAGTGCACGCCTGAACTGTGATTTTTTTTTTTTTTCAAATCGAAGTTGAGATCTGATACCAAATTGATGTAGAGCGTATTAGGGAAGAATTAGGGATGAGAAGGGAAAAAGAAGAGGATGAGAAAAGAAGAAAAAAGAAATGCGAATAGAAAGAAAATTTTAGGAAGAAACAATATCAAAATTCAATATCAATAATCAATAATTAAAGTCTAATTTCTCAACAAATATGTATCCTCTATATATATATATATATATATATATATATATATATATATAAGGAGTTCACAAATTCTATATATATAAGAAGATTACAAACCCTAAAATAAATAAATAATTAAAATAACAATTAAACTCTTAAAAGTTAAAAGAAAATATTTAAAAGATAAATATTAAAAATATCTAAATAACTATCATAATTAATATATAATATCTATCTAATTCCTACACGATCTCCGTCAGCTTGTCAAATCTACAACCAATGTGGAGAGGCCTTTCGGGTTCTGCAGATCAGCACTACTTGGAACTATGTAACTTATAAATTTCATTGTTCAACAATTACTGACTAGTATTTGTGGATAATATTGGACCTAAGTACTGTGGAAATATAGCATCATAAAAATCCAGTCTTAATTGCTATTGCACAGATGTATCCTCCGATACATTTCCTCTGTTTGGTACATCAGCCCCGATTATTACACACTTCAATATGTACTTCTAGTTAGAAGAACATTTAATATTCTTCATAACATTAGTTTGCGTGCAAGATCCTGCACAATATAAAAAACGGGAACAGCTCTCTCCCTTGGTGAACTTCGAGTGAGCCGGTTGAGTGACCTACCACGCCGCTTGGAACAGCCTGCGAGGTTCGGGGGTAACCTGGAACGGCAATGGGAGACCTTGGGTGAGCGGGAGAACGATCCAGTAAGGCTGAAAGAGGATCCTGGAACAAAGAAGAACCGGTTAGGAGGGCGCCGGAGTGTTTTCCGGCGTATCCCCTCCGACGGTCTAGTCAGTCTTTGAGTGAGAGAGAGGAAGGAGAAAACACTGAGAAGGATATATTGTAGTAGAGAGTTTGTGATTTTCTTCCCGGAGTGTTTTCCGGCGTATCCCCTCCGACGGTCTAGTCAGTCTTTGAGTGAGAGAGAGGAAGGAGAAAACACTGAGAAGGATATATTGTAGTAGAGAGTTTGTGATTTTCTTCCCTTTCTCTTGCCTTTTGCAAGGAGTACTTATACCTTAAAAGCTCATGATTGCTGTCAGTGTGGTCAGTAGGTGATCATTAGGTGCAGGTTGCGTGTGCATTGATTCTGATGAGGAATGTCTTCTCTAATTGACTGCTCGGGGTCCCGAGCAATTAATGTCGAGTCGTCGGGATGCCGACGGTACAATATGCTCCTCTCGGGGAGGATGCAATAAATGCTATGTAATAGGAGTATTTATTACCTTTCACTTCCGAGCCTTACCGCATTGAATGCGATCTCATCGAGGGAATGGTGCAATTAATTGTTTGCTTTCCCCAAGCGCGTGTCAGCAACAGCATGCGGTTTGTCTGTTTTTGATGTGATATCATATGCCACGCGTCCATCACGTATTAGCTATGACCTCTGTATTCCAGTATGTTCTGACATTACTTGTGTAAGACGAGGTCATGATGAATAGTCTAGACTGGCATAGGCTGATGACCCGTACGTCAGTAGCTTTATCCTGGAGTAGAGGAAGCGTCTAGGACGGAGTAACTCTCGGCACCGAGGAAAGGCTCACCTCGGGGACCGAGGGTGGTATGTTTTCCGAGGTACATGGGTGACCGAGGACACGTGTTGTTGTATAATACACCGAATGCATGATCCTATATGAGAGGTACCTCGGGGGCGAGGACACTCGTTGCCGATGGTGCTTAAATCCGAGCAACACTGTTCCAACAAACCCGAGGACACGTGTCTTCATCATAGGGCTTTTCAGAAGAGTCCCATCAACTGCCCCCCAGCCTTCGATCTTCTGACACCGAGGACACGCGTTGTAAGGAGACGAAGGGTTTCCCAACTGCCATCCGTCCTTCATTATGGCCTCGAGCCGCTTTCCCCGGCTTGGGATGTCGTGCGCATTAAATGCGCCGTTTCGGTTCTCCCGCCCAATGATGAAAATTTCCCCCTATATAAAGGGGGTTCTTCTCTGGTTTCCATCGTTTTGTCATTTCGATCTTTTATCCA